TATATATATATATATATATATATATATATATATATATATATATATATATATATATATATATCTATATCTATATCTATATATATATAAATATTTATCAATAGAGAAATGAAAATAGCAAGATTATTTTCTTTAATGTATTCAGCTAGCGCACATCTGGCCTAGGCCAGTCAGATTTTTTTCATTTGATCTTTGCTGCATGCCCTAGTTTTACGATCTGTACGTAAAGAAGTGTGTACCATATTTTAACCAGGGGGCTTATTTTCTAATATAACTAAGTAAACGGAGTTTTTATGGACTCGCGTGCCTACATGAACAAGAATAGCTACCGGCTTGTACGTTTACTTCTCATGAATCCAGCATAGGGGCTATATTTTTCGTCTCAGTACCAAACGTTTGGTAAAAAGATAAAACATGTACTAAGTTGCCGAATGGAAACAATCAACAAACGGCTAAACCTATTACTAAAAAAAACCAAATAAACATTTTACAATGCAAAAAAAGCCCAACTAAACCTATTAAATCACAACTTCGATTAAAGAATGTTAGCTACTGTAGTTGTAGCACTTGGATTCTCTGGGTATGTTCTCAAAATACACAAACCAGGTGTACAAACAAAAAAACAAAAAAGCTGCGCTTGTTTAGCCCTATATTTGAAGATTGTAATAAATCAAGCCATCCGGAGAGAACACAATAGAACGGTACGGTGACCGAAATATCAGGTCATACGGAGACAACACAACAGAACGTAGACGCTCTAACGGTACGGTGACCAAAATATCAAGTCATACGGAGACAACACAACAGAACGTAGACGCTCTAACGGTACGGTGACAAAAATATCAAGTCATACGGAGACAACACAACAGAACGTAGACGCTCTAACGGTACGGTGACCAAAATATCAAGTCATACGGAGACAACACAACGTAGGCGCTCTAACGGTACGGTGACCAAAAAGTATACATTCTTAATGTAAATTGGTTCTAATAAAGTGACCAAAAAAAAAAAAACCAACAAGTAAATAGATAAAATTGTTTGAAATAATGATAATTTTCTTCCGAGTACTACAAATTTCACATAAACAATGTCAGTAATGATAATTAGACGAATGAAATATAACTTAATTTTTTTTTTTTAAATACTGTTTTAACATTTTTACCACAACAGACCACCTTGATGTCCGTGAAAGTAGTTTGTGTGAACGAATTAACACTTACAAAAAAGTCGAAATTTCGAGTTGTACTTATAGTAGATGAAAATGTGGACCACGGATAGCAGGAGCTCCGAGAGCTCCCTGGACTTAAAGATTACCTCATAGAGGTTTTGGTACCTGCCCCCGGGCGTTAGGTCCGGCACGAGTGCGAATGCCAGGAAGATGATGATCTTAGGCGTGTTCCCAATGACGTAGACCACGCAGATGACAGTGACTTGTTTAATGACCTGGAGCTCCTTGCCGCTCAGTTTGCCGCTGGGCTTACCTTTCAGCTTACCGCCGAGATTACCCCTTGGAATGTGGCTCATCTTGAGTGTTTTATTTATCACATTCTGGTGGGTGTCCCGCTCGTCCGATAGAGTCTCCGATCGAAACTTCTCCCGCCATCCGACAGCTTCGGACAGAGACCGCGTCATGACAACCACGCAGGCGACGATGATGATTTCAGAAGCTATTGCCGGGAACGAATCCCTGACATTCCAGACGATATTCTTGACGAGGTCTCGATATGGCGAGAACCACATCACCTTACGGGTCGTGTTGACATTTTTATCAAACTGCTCAGCGATGCCCATGGTGGCCAATACGGGGACGTACGCCAGCAAAGAAAAAGCACATATCCCATACATGATTTTAACAGTTCGTGTCACCGAGAACATATTTTTGAAGCCCAAGGGTTTAACAACGCACATGCATTTGGCCACAGCGAGGTACGTGGTGATAAAAACGGGAATTGCGAAGAGGCAGGTTCGTATGTTTCCGAAGAACGAGTTAAAAGCGTAAGGGTTGACGTGAAACCAGGTTTTGTATTCCGTGGCCATCTCCGTGACCCACAGCGCCATGGCCAGTTTCTGACCCAGGGCGGCCAGGCAGCACGTGAACTCGGACAAGGAGAGGAACAGGAAGGACACCGTGACCCCGTCGTCTGCTCCCATGGCCACGAACGTTCGGATGTTGATGAGGTTGCTGACCACACCCGTGGCGGATAGAATCATGTCGATGGTCGTGAACATCCCTATCAGGGCGATGAATTCATTTTGTGTGACTAACGTGTTGGTGGACATACCCATTGCTGATCTGTTTGTCAATGCACCGAAAGCTGAGCTCTTGGTAAGTGCACCGAAAGCTGAGCTGTTAGTCAGTGTTCCGAAAGCTGAGTTGTGAGTCAGTGCACCGAATACTGAGCTGTCGGCGATGGTCAAAGTATTTAGGTCTGTTACTCTAGTGACGATGGAATCATTCTCGTCCGTCATTGTTATTGATTCAAATTCCAGGCAGGCCCTTTCAACCAAATTAACTCTTAGCTGGAGATATATTTAAAAACGAAACATTTTATCTTTGATTTTGGATCTGTCATTTTAGATGAAATTATTTTTTTTTTAAATTCTAAATTTGTATTACCGGCCAATTACGGGAAATTTTGATATCACAGAAGGAAATTCCATTAAAAAATTATATTTCCAAATCAGTGAGATTTTCCAAAAGAACAACAACACCACGAAGATACAAAAAACGATTTTATATTCATAATATTTCCTTTTTTTTCAAACACATGTTTGATCTCACATAGAACGACAGTGAAAAATGAAAACAATTTTTTATGGCTTATATACCATCTTAGGATAGAAAAAAACAACAACATTGCATTGATATTATAGGAGTGGTAAACATTACTGACCTGTTTTTACAGTACGATGGGCACAGACCTTTTTAATAACAGCGTAGCATTGTTGTATTCCATTCTTTCAGATATTTTTTTTATTAATAGTTGATCCTATGTAAATGTATTACAAACGAATCAAAGCAATATCCAGCACTGAAGTAACTATTTTACCGTTGAAATAATGTACATCTTCATCCATTTCAACGTTGAATTCTCAACTTAATTGCACCTTCGCAGTTTCAATTTGTTTCATTACTTTTTTTGTTTCATGTTATTTTTTTCCTTTACAATTATGCACGTGTGTAAGGTAAATACGCATGCAGCCACTTAAGTTGACAATTGCAAATATTCGACACAAGTCTCGGTTTAGTGATTATGGATCATTTTACACAGACTTCTTGCAGTCATGGTTCAGTGCGCCCCCAACCCCTTTTCCCCTTGTTAGTCTCAGAAGGTCATCTCTGAAAAAAGGCGTATCATATGAAATTGACATCAGTGTCAAGATTTCATCATCTCACGTCTGCTTGTTCCCCCCCCCCCACCCAGACAAACAAGTGTTATTCTTAAGCAATTAATTAGATCTAGTTTGATTTTTAGTAACAACTATAATTGCAACCTTGGTGCACAGTGCAATTACCCCTAAGCCATGAAATACCAACATATCATTTTCTTTGCAACCCCCCACTAACACTAGAGACAATTATTTTATTTAGCTCCCCGTCATGACTACTCTATCCATGTCTATCGATTTTCTCGAATCATGGTTCACAATCATCACACAGTTTCTAGGTAATTAAGATGTTCCTCTCAATTACCCAGTGCGAGGTAACTCCGCAAGCCCTTTGTTTCCGGAACTAATTTCAATGCGAAGTTATTATAACTATGGCCAACATTATGCTGGCGGTTTATTTATCCCAATTCTAAATATCTACTTTATGATAAAGCAGTGGACACTTAAACTGTTATACAAATAATCTCGACCTAAAAATCTATTGAAACACTCTTGTATCTGAACGGCTTTATTTTGAAGTAAAAATAACAACAACAAAAAAAAAAACAAAAACAATATCCGAGTCTTAGATAAGTGTCATAGACTGGGGCTAAACCCTTATTGGTGAGCGCATTCGTTTATTGGGAATCGGATGATATTGTGAAACTGCTGGAGAGGAAACTGTGGATGAGTGTCCTTGAATATAAAATAAAATTAGGTAAGTAGACACGTCATGCGAATGCCCAGCTGGTTGATGACACCATTGTCGAGCTCGGAGATTCTAATAGGACTGCGCCAAGAATTCTTTTTGAAAGGCTCCAAAAGATATGTGTTAATAGAACGTGTAAACTGCAATCATGGCATTAACGTTGGGACATTAAAAAAAATAAAAATAAAACTGAAAAAAAGAAGTAATAGTAATTTAAAAAAATATTTTTTTTTTTTAAAAGTCACATGTCTAAAATAAATGCTATGATCAAATTTGTTCAACTTTGGACAAAAAAAAAGACTAAACAATTTCGTGGGTTGTCGTTATTAATCAAACATAATTGTATTTTTTTATGTAAGATTTTTTTTTGTTTGGCAGTGATGTTCATTTAATTTTAGACTAAGTAGATTTGCAACAAAACACTGCATTTCACTGAAGTTTATTGTTCTGTAAAGTTATTTGATTTTGAGTTTTAATCTGTTTTAGAATTAATCCCGTAGTATGAACAGTACGTAACAATGGGCTGAAAACCAGTTAACAAATGAAAACGATACAAAAGCTAGTGATGCCAACAATAGTCAATTTATTTATACTATTACATTTATATCACAAGACACATTCAAATATACAGAAGAAAACTATCTAAATCAATTTACAACACAACAAATGAAAAGGTACAATCCTCGAAAAATAATAATATTTATTTACACATACGGGCTTGTAATTTCATGTCTCGTATATGTCAAGGAAATATTGCAAGATTCTCCCGGCTAGGAAAGATGCCGGCCTATAAATAAGGATTAAATTAGAACCATCCAGGAAAGAAATTCTTGAAATGGCGTCCGCTGATAGGGTTCATTGCAAGAAATGTAAGGTATTCGAACGTACACAACCTTTCCCCAATTAAAGGAGGGGTGGGTAAAAGGAGTGGAAAAGAACATTTACTCGGCAATCTTAATATTAAAAAAAAAAAATGAAGACAGGTGAGGGTGGCCACAGCGTTAATATTAGGCATTCATACATGCCATAATACTCATAGAAATAATTCTTGTTATTATTTAAATAAAAATAATAGCAGTCTATGTTTTAGAATTTTAGAACGAGCTCTGATGTCATTTTCATAGCAAGCGACATACATATTTTTAGAAGACAAAATCCCATTACAATACTATCCATAATATTCATGAAAAAAAAGATTCGTTATTGTTTTCTTATTTTTAGTTACAAAATTGTAACTAATTAATTCTCATCATGATTTTCATAAAGTAAAAATACAATGTCACACACACATGTCAGACAGTTATACTCAGAAAATACAACATGCTCTAAATTTGGTATTGTACTTATAATAGATTACAATATTTACACACGATATCACAAGTTCAAACGTTTCTTTCCCTTTTAGGATGACGTCATAAAGATTTTGGTACATTCCTCCTTGAGTTAGATCCGGAACCAGGGCGATGGCCAAGTACACAATTATTTTTGGAGTGTTTCCGACTATGTACACCAAAGATATATAAGTCACCTGTCTTATAACCTGAAGTTCTTTCCCGCTCAGCTTAACACTAGATATCTTCCCAAGACTCCCAGATCTATCCTGAGGCTTACCAACGAGTCCTGATCCTCCGCCCGACGTAAGACTCTCTCTGACACTGACGGCCTTCGATAGAGATCTGGTCATGACCACCAGGCAAACAACGATGACGATTTCCGAAGTGATGGCGGACACAGAGTCTCTGCCGTTCCATACGATTTTTTTAACAATGTCACGATATGGCGAGAACCACAAGATGGGGCGCGTTACGTTGACCTGATGGTCAAACATCTCGACCATTCCCATGGTAGCTAGAATAGGAATATACGTGACGAACGAAACCATGCAAATCCAAACCATTATTTTAACGGTTTTTGCAACGGAGAACGTGTTTTTAAATCCCAGCGGGTTGACCACGCACACGCACTTGACCACGGCCAGGTACGTGGTTATCAAAACGGGGATCTCAAACAGGCCTGAGCGGATGTTCCCAAAGTACACGTTAAAGGCGTAGGGGTTAATATGAAACCAAGTCTGATAACCTGTGGCCATTTCTGTAAGCCAAAACGCCATGGAGAGTCTCTGTCCGAGGCCAGCAAGACTACACAAGAGTTCAGACGCCGAGAGGAACAGAAATGACACGGTGATCCCATCTTTGGCTCCCATGTCCAGGAATGTTCTGATGTTGACAGCGTTGGTGATGAGACCCAAAGCGGACAGGATCATATCCACCGACGTGTACATGCCTATCAGTGGTATGAATTCCTTTCGCGTGATAAGAGTATCGAAGACGGAGGAGTTATCCAAGGGCTCCCCGACTCTTACTTGTGTACCCCCAGCGACGAGCACAGTAAAAAGTGAATTTCTATCAGCCATTTAAAAAAAAAAAATTGCCTTCCAGAGTAATAAATGAAGAACTGCGTTCAAGCTGTGTGAATTTTACATTTTTCCATTATATGTCCGTTACAATCTTTTTTTTTTATATTAATGATGCTTACATGCTGCTACTTCTTGGAAAACGAACTTCTGGCTCTAACATTGATGGCTAACTCAATACAAATACAACTTTTTGAGGTAATTTGTATTTCTTCTTACTTCTTCCTTTTTCTTCCAATCTGCAGAGGAAGGCTCTTAGCCGAAACGGTTCTTCGTTTATTGTCTCGGCAGTACGTTTCAATCTTCCACCTACCTTGTTCAACTATTTCCACTCTTTAAAACCACTGACATTTAGTTTGTTAAACGATTTACAAACTCAGTCGACAAATTCCTTACATTCGAATGAAATTCTAACAGGTTAAATCCTATTACTGAGGATGATACTACTGAGAACAGAAGAAACTAACACATGTCTATCCATTCCCTGAGCCAGCCCTGCCTTACGCGTGTTTCGCAATGCTAGAACTTGATAAAAATGCATTATTTCAAGTGATATCGGTATTAATGTACTGTATATAATAACAATTAAACGTAATATCGATATAATTTGTGCGAGTGTGCATAACAAAATTCCAGGTAATTTATCACGTTTCCATACAACGTGTCGGTACATCCGACCCCTCCTCCCAGAAAGTGAACACAAAGGTACACATAATTTTGATCAAATTGTTGTAATATCATTCAATGACATCGATTTTTCTCGTATACAAGAGATCTCACAGCTCAAATCACTTTAATGCGTGATTAAATCTATTTGCCATATTTTCCATTATAATGGCTCTTGTAAATCTCTCACTTAAGTAGTTT